TGTCCCTTCCAAGCCCTCGCCTTCCCGGCCTGTGAGGCGGGCCTAGTGGAGCTCGGAGCATGCTGGCCAGTGGCCGCTCCTCCCGTCCTGAGGGGCAGGAGCGTGCTGCCTTTCTGACTAGAAACTTGTCCCCCCTCAGGGCTGTCCACACTTGCTTTCTGGACACGGACGGCCATCCCACCTGTGACGCATGCTCCCCGGACCACAGTGGGCGTCTCTGTGAGAGGTGAGCAGCCCATGGGGAGGTCAGGGCTGACCCCAAGGACCAGGATGTCCCACCCTTACCTTCCATGGGCCCCAGAGGACAGTCCGCTCCCTCTTGGGGAGCCTCAGCCTCTCACCTGGCATTTGAGGCCCTCAGACATCCTGGCCTGCAGTCGTCTCCAACCTCCAGCATCCCCTGCTCTGGCCGGGCCAGGCTTCCCACGAGAGAGCCTCGTTCTTGCTGCAGGTCTCAGGTTTAAGGCCCGATCATGCTAGCTCACTGGCCGAGTGGCCTCAGACACCTGCTCTTCCTACCTGTTTACCCACCTGTAAAACGGGTACCTTCGGCTGATTTTGGCTCCATGAGGTCACTGAGTCCAAACAGGCCCCCCAGCAGTCCTGGGCTCAGGGCAGGCTCCCTGGGATCCCGCCCTCTTATCTCCAAGCTCTTTCTCTCTGCAGGTGTGCACCAGGTTACTATGGCAACCCCAGCCAGGGCCAGCCTTGCCGAAGTGAGTATGGTTGACAGTGGGAGGTGATTGGGTCAGGCCACCCAACCTCCCCTGAGGTGGAGCTAGGACAGGGCCTTTGTTCCCCCGTGACCCGGGTGATGTGGCTTTACCTGTCTTCGCCTTGGCTTCTCATCTGTAAAGCTGGGGTAGGGACAGGCACCCCCGGCCTCCAGGGGCTCCTGGAGAGGAGAGACAGCTGCTCCAGAAATAACCACTCCCTCCCTCGGAGCCGATCGGGATGCTCCAGATGGCGGGATGGGGGTGTGATGGCGGGCTCCGGGCTCCAAGCGTGGCTTTCTCCAACCCCAGGAGGTGACCAGGTGAGCAAGTGCGATGCTGCTGGCCAGTGCCAGTGCAAGGTCAGTCTGACCCCTGCCCACCGTGAGGTCCCGGGCCGAGCGGAACATCTGACTGGAGCTGGGGCCTGGGCGCGGGCTGGGGCAAGAC